GCCGAGCCAGGTGAGCGGCGCCCGGCCCCTCCCTCACCTGGCCAGGTGCGCCCACGTGACCGCGCCTACGGGCCGCGGCGCGGGACACGCTTCCTGCCGACGCGAAGCTCCTCCCTTCTGTGCCCCGCCCAGCTCCTCCCTGCGCGAGCGCTGAGCGCGGAGCGGCGCCTCGCTTTGCCCACCTGTGAAATGGGCGTGCTGCCGCACTGGAGGCTCGAGCCCCGCCTGCAGCATGCCGGTGCTTTGGGGTTGGACTGCATCAGGGTTTCCCTGGAAGGGTCGGGACAGCCTTAGCTCTGCTCTGGGCCTGTACTGGGGACGGAGCGGGTGCAGAAGCGAAGGTCGCCCGGACTCGGATGCTCAGCCCGTGACACCTGTAGAGAACGGTCTCCCTGCGAGGCGCGAGGCAGGAAGGGAAAGCATCTCTGCAGCCGAAGGCCAGGGCAGATGCAGCGCGACCCCCGGCCCCTTTGCGCTGAACTGGAAGCGAACTCGCCCGAAGCACGATGCCGCGACGGCGGCGGGGAAGCAGGGGCCTGCAGAAAGCCACGATTCGCACCACAGCTCCAAGCATGGGCGCGTTAGTCTGCAGCGGGAGCGTGGGCTAGTGGCTAGAGTACCAGGCTGCCCCCCCGCCGGCTCTTTGGGGACTTCTGAACCCTTTTATGATGGATGTGCTACTGCAATCTGCGGTGACTGCATTCTCGAGTCACGCCGCTCTCTGCTTCTCTCCCTCCTTAAAAGACCCTTCTCTCAAGAAGCCTGGAAATAACAAGCCACCGAAGAGAGAATTTAAAGAAACACGCACGTAGGAAATCAAAGCGCCAGAGTCACTGGTATGAACCTAATTAGCTCAAACACCCTGCCCGCTGCGGGAACGACAGCTAGTTCTTCTACGAAGGCTGGCCTCCCCTCCGTGTAATGTCTGCTGCTCCCCCACCCTCATCGCTATCCCCCCGCACACTGGGGCCTTGTAAGTCCTTATGTTTGGAGATGATTAAAAAAGAAAGGGGCATCCCATGCTTTCCTGGCCTATGTCTGGGAAAGAAAGCATCACCTAATTCTCCGTGCTATGGCCAAATGCCTGACCCCTCTCTCACAGCATCTGCACACCCTGTCAGACTGTGCTTTGGCAGGAAAACGCGTCTCGTTTGTTCCTGCCTCCCGCACGCGTGCTGCACGCCGGAGGAATGTCACGTAGTGACTCTAGCGAGCGTGGCCGAGCCAGAACACCTGAGAATAGTGCTGGGCATGCCTCGGGCTCGTGCCAGGGAATGGCTATGTGACGTCTTGCCAGTGTATGGCACGTGAAGCAGGAGTGAGTGGGCAGGGCCCTGTCCAGTGCGGTGCAGACATGCCCTCTGAAGCAAAAGTGCACCCTGCTGTCACCCGCTGTGGCCAAAGCCTGGGTCGCATTAAGACATAACACTTACACCATGATCTTTGTGCGTGGACCTCAAATGCTTCACAAAGGCCACCCTCATTTTATAGATGAGGAAACTGAGGAATAGCCGGATTATTGCCAACAGTTGCAAAACAGGCCCCTGACTTGGGATGCGCATCGAGAGACACTTCAGGCCCGATTCTCAGAGTAGCTGAGCACCCACAGCGCTTAGTGACTTTGCCTAGGATTGGGGCTGGGAAGCAGGTCCTGAGGCTGAGATGATCAAAGGTCTGTAGGGACCTGACTCCCACCGACCCCCATGGGTGTTAACAACTTATACACCTTTGGGGATTTAGGCCTCGATGCCCACAAAGATGGAGTCACACCAAATCAGACCCTTTTGCAAATGTTGTCCTGAAGGAACGTTTCTGAGGTTACCTAACCTGTCAACCAGAACCCAGATCTCCTGACTCCCAGCCGCTGGACCCTGCTGCCTTTTGTGGGCCAGCAAATGCGAGCACTGAGCCCAGGAAAGCAGTGATCTCCGGTCATAATGAATGAAGAGGAGAAGGCAAGTTCTAGAGTGAAAAGTCCTCCACTGGAAGTGCCTGGTAACATGACAAATCCAACAGGACTTAAGCATTTGGTTAACAATGAGCATGTGTTTAACTGCATCACTAACTGGGGCCTTAAAGATATGCCATTGGTTTTATTCTTGGTCTGCCCAGGATCTGATCTTTCCAATGCTTACAGATAGCCATTACTCTTGCTGCCAGGCCTTCAACTTAATAGCCAGGTAGTCAAGCACTACCCACAGCAGGGTTTGCAGGTGTGTGGTCATAGACTTTGTGCTCCGTACATGCCATTCCTGTGGTTCCGAGCTTCAGCATCCTCTCTTGATGCTCTGTCACTGAACAGTAAGAGCTGGGCATTCAGGAAGGCGTTCATCTCCCGGTGCCCCACTGCAATGCCCAGAAATGCAGAAGGATCTGCAACAAAAGAGCAAAACCACATGAAGCAAAGCCTCCTCCGAAGTGTCCAGTGACCCCTACACTTCCTGACCAGAGTGGGTCTTCAAGGACCCATAAAGGCAGGAAAGTGTTAACTCAGAAACCTGCTGCAGTATGGCAGTGACTTGGGCATGATCCAGAGCCCTTTTAAATTTTCCCTCTGATTCCAAGGGGCTCTGGATGAAGCCCTGTGTCAGCTGGACTTCTCATAGACCTGTCCACACCGAATGTTCTTGCTTAACACATTCTACTGGTACAGACGCGCTGTTGAGAGCAGCGATGATACCTGCAGCAGAGACAAGGCGGCAATGGTCACTGGCATTTCAGTCCCCTCCTCGCATGGTCCTGCTCTGCACACTGTGAAATGAATGTCAGTGACTGGTTTACACTGGTGTTGCTGGGGTGGTGCCCACGGCAGTGGCAGCAGTGCAGCAGCACGGATGTGTAATGCAAAGAAAATGCATCTAGTGCAAACATGTTCCCTACTAGCCTGAGGGCAAGGAGTTTCTGTGCTTGTCCTCCCTGAGGGATGTCCCTCTGCACAGAGGGGTGTGTAATTATGCGTGCTGCAGACGCTACTGTGCTGCGCAGGCCTGACAGGCAGCACCACTCATTCATTCTGTTTCCTTGCCAGCCCCAGTGACTCACTGGCTTTCTTTGAGTGCTGGTGACTCACTCCCATAGAGGAGGAGGAAGGGAGGGATGGTGGTGGGGACCACTTCGTTCTTCACGGAGGAATTGGTGTGCATCACCTGCACAGAGCCTCCACTGGACACCTGGGGGAGGAGAAATGGAAGATTGAGGCAGGTGTCCAACAGACAGAAGCGGAACCCGTGCAGTCAGAGCGCGGTTGAGACAGATGCAGATTGTCTGAGATGTGCAAGAATGAGAGAGAGAAAGAAGGATCAGTACAAAAGACCATGTTACTACCAGGAGCTGGTTCTTTTTCTAAAGGGCACAAAGCCTGCTTATTGGTTTAAGCCTCTGGCATGACAGCACTGTGCTGGATTCCAGCTCTTTGTCCTTTGGCTGGTTGGCATTTGATTTGTGTGCAGTTTGAAGCACAGCTAGGAAATGCGTTGCCCATTCCCTCACCAGGCACCTAAAATACAAAGCAAGGCTGCGAGATGCCACCCAGGCATTATTTATTCATTATTACTGCATTGCTGCGCCTGGCTCCAAGCTGTGAACTCAACTTTCCCCAGAGTTCGGGGCTGCTGGGCTCTGACATTTTGCTTTGGGTTCAGCCACATTTGAAGCCATTTGGCTCCTATGGTTCCTATTTGCCTGTCTGCTGGATTCCTCCAACCCCCGCTGTCACCTTCTAAGCTGTAAATGCACTGAGTTTTATTTGGGTTAAGGCAAAACTGGATGTAGGCTAAACCAGTTCATTTGGCTCCACTGCTAATGCTGCCCCTGGGAGTGTGTGATGTTCTGGACTTAGCTCGTGTTGGGTCCTTCCCAAACTTGTGGCCAATGTTCTCTTCTCTTTCTTTGCCATGAAGAGCTGCAGGTCACTTCCTGAACTTGTTCTGTCCACATGTGCTTTCCAGCAGGATTTCTGTGTGCAGGCCACGAGGCTATCAGAGAGGATACTTTTGCCAACTTACAGAGCCAGAGGAAAATAAGTTTCTGTGGTGCTTGGAGAAGTTGCTTCTTGAGGGAATGCCAGGCCCTTATGCAAAGGCTGGGCACTGAGCAGACTCCAAGGGCTAGTGACAGCAGGAACGTGGCTTGGGTGGGAAGAGAAGATCAATTTGCTGCTGAGCTCTACTCAGTGTGACAGCAGCAGGCTGCATTAGTCAGCACCATGGAGGCGAGAGCTGCTCAGCTGGCGGCACATAAGGCAGCAGCTGACGTCAGGCCGGCTCCTTGGGGTCTGTGCAGCGCAGGCTCTGAGCTCCCGGTGGAAGGAAGCTTTGGAGAGTGCTTAGAAGCCTCGTTAGCGGAGGTTGAGGGGGCGGCCTATTTGAAAGCCTGCTCTGTCCGCTGCAGTCAATCTGGAAAAAGTCCTGGCCCCTCCCAGAGCTCCAGGTGCTGCAGTGGGACTCAAGCCTTGCTCCAGTTTATGCCAAAATGTCAAAGGTTTTCAGTGACCCCAGACACCCTCTCAATCATTCAGTCTCAAGGTTTCTGGTTCACACAGGACAGGGTGGAAGGAGGGGCCCTGGAATCTACCCAGAAGTTGCGCATCAACCAGTATCACTTCCAAATTTCCTCGTGACCAGCAGTGACTGTCTTCCTCCTGCGCAGGCCAGCTGTGGAGCTTAACACACTGGACAAACAGGAACAGCTTCACCCTCTCCGGACCTGTTGGGCCTCAAGTCAGTACCTTTATCCCTGACAGACGAAGTGGTAGAGGCACACAGAGGG